AATTCAGATATCCTCATGGGTATAGATCGTATTGTCTAACTGGAATCTCCTTTCCAATTTATCTGGGTTTGAGAAATAGGATTGGGGGATTGTGCTGATTGGCTTCAGTCTCTACAGGCAGTAAATAAGCTTTTTGGTAACTTTTTTCTTCCTCTCTTGATGCTTTTCAGAACAGTTTAATTTTGCAATGAGGATGAAATCTTTACACCAGAGATTTGATAACTGACCCATTTCAATGTTTGGGATTTGGATATAAATATACCAGAACATCTTGTATTATAATCCTTTGTAAGAGATTACATTTTTGGATGAATGGCCACTTTTATATCTTGAGGCTGACATGTAATGTACAGTACATATACATATACAATGTAATGTACATATAAGTGAGATGACATGTGCTTTCCTGATTTAAGTAAAAAGCACCAAACACTGTGTACTGTATTGACCACTGTGCTGATGAATGGCATAAAAGTGACCAGCCTTTTGAGAAGGTGTGTTTGCTATTTAAATTCACTCTTAACAAAAGACAATTGTGCTCTTTACAAATGTGTTTTTTTAAAGCCACATTAACCACTATTTTAGAAATTAAAATTAGATATCACCTTTGGACATCACACAGAGACACATTTGAACCATTAAGATACTGCCTTACCAAAATATATTAAACTTCTCTACTGCATGAGTGTTTCAATGGCTGTTAAATTATGTGAAAATTATACTGTGTTCTTATATTTCAATTCTTTTTGGCAAATTTTAATCCAGATCCTCATGTGATTGTGTCAATCTGTAACGTTGATCAACAACTTTGAGATGATTTTTCAAGATACCTGCTCTCCCGATCATACAGTATGATATGAAAAAACATCCATAGAATATGACTTAAAACTTTTGCACTGTTGCAAAAAAACCTAAAATTGGTCAAGAGCTCTTATTATGATCACAAGCTTTGCATCAGATTTGACAGGTACCAAATTTTAGTTTATTTCTAAAAATCTTTTTATAGAAAAGTAACCCCCTTTGAATCAGAAGGGAGAAACAAACTCCTTTTCTTACCATCAAATTAACACAGTCTGTGTAATAGCAAGAATATTTTTATGACTAGTTCTTCTGGGCAGTACAAGTCAATCTTCTAGTGTTACTGTAAATACACTATGCTGTCAAGACAAATAGGAATTTCCCATGATTTAGGAGCATAGAGGTCACAATAAAACAAGCCCTAAAATATAATTAATTACCCACATTTCTGGAAGGGGTAACATACGATCCAGTTAGCCCTGATACACACATCCTATAGCTGCAGTGCTTGTACAATTAATGTGAATGGACAGGGAAGGCTGCCCTAAACACTAGTGGCAATAACACACTTTATACAAGCCAGGAATAAAAAAGAAAGACTGTAATCCTAGGTTTAATCTCCTGAAGTCATGATTTTATCAGAAGGAAATCTGTCCTATTTCTATGACTAGATTTGTAAGGACCTTCAGTAGTGAGTGTATTTAAGGGATTAAATCACTAAATTTGAATTATTTCCTGAAAGTCATGTATTTGCAAGACTAGCAATTGTCCATACTAACATTATTTTTCTGTGAACCTTCTTAAGGTTTCTTGGGCCTCCTGAATGGCTTGGGAAAAGGGAGCTCTTTCCCAAGTGTACCTTTCTGAACTGGTGCTGAGGGTCTTGACTCTCCTTCAATCAGGACTGACCCTCCAGTATTAGACTGTAGTGCCACAGATGCACTGAAAGACAAATGGCTCAAAAGTGGAAGGAGTCTGTCTGCACTTTCTCCTTCTACCCTGTGTGAGGTCATGGGATTCGTAGTTGCGAGCCGAGATATGAAAAACACCCAACTGGCTATTCCAAATCCAGCAGGTATAACACAAATAATTGCTAATTCTTAAATGAAGCAAAAAAAGATTTTTATTTTTATTTGCTGTTAAATGTCTGTTTTGTCTATTTTTAAGGGCCAGGACTGAGTTTTATTCAGCTTTTGTTCTATACAGTACATGCATATTTGTTTGAGCTGTGTCTGATCTATTCCCCATATTTTAGCAATCTGATATCAGGTCCGAAATGTTTGCTTTTTAATTTATAAACCATGTAACAGCAGACAGCACAGCTGTTAAGACCCATAAGGCTTATTCAGTGGTCTGCTTTCATATCTAATGATGCTAAATTGCTCTAGACTCAGACATCAGTGGTGGGAGTCTTTTTGATTTTAAGCTTGACTCCTGTGAGTGACTTTCACAAGGATATAAAGTAAAGGAAAAAATCTTCACATTTTGTGACTTAAAAACAAGGCTAAGAACACAAACAGCTGGCAACAGCTCTTGCTTATGATGGTCCACATAAACCTCTTGCGAATCAGTTTCATGTTTTGTATTTTGCTACACCCTTGTATAAAGAATGTCCCCAACAATTCTCTAAGTTTTTACCAGAGGCCCTTGTAGCTTATAGTCAGTGAAGGAATGTCGCCTTTTCAGTGTTGAGTACAAAAAACAAGGCCCTAACAGACATCAGAATCTGCCAAAGCACCAGTTTCTCTGCATAGCATACAAAGCTCCCTTTGTTCTGGAGACAGCCCACAGCATGGACATGCTTTTCAGCCCTTGCTGCAAATAATTGGAAAGTCAGTACTTTGGGGATCCTTGTAGAAAACCAAATTTCTTGGCATCTTGGCCAAATACTGAGCAATTTGGGAGTTTGTTGCATCTAATAAAATAGTTCTTTCTTATTTTTTTTGCAGGAAAAAGATGAAGACCACAGGACGGCCTTTGCATGCAATGGAAATGGAACTTACTTCGTGGTTTCCAACTTCTGTGCACGTCACTGCCCATCATCACATCACAAAAAAAAAAAACAACCCACTGGAGTATTCTTTGAGCTCCACAGCACAAAATGCTTTTTTTTTTCTAAAAGCAACTGGAAAAGTGTGATGAAAGTAGAAAACTAGACATCTAAAATATAGATGTGGAAAAGCAAAAGAATTCACTTACAATTTGTGGGTTTACTCTTGACTACAATGAGGCAAATTGTTCACTGAAGAACAAAACATTTCAAGCTGTCCTCACAATGTTTTCCGATTCTCTGGATGCATCGGTATCCCAAACATTTAAAATTAAGTCAAGCACAATTTCAATGTATAAATCTACATTGTGTAACATGATTAATGTTTATTTGACCATTTCCAAATTCATACTCTACCGGCATAATGATGTTTCTTTCATAAATACTTAAGTTTGTATGAATTCCTTCCCAGTCTTCACCATTGGCTTTGGTAAAAATCCAATGCCTTCACAGGTTTTGAAGATATGGTTGTGTCACTACATACTGTAAATAGCTCCAATTTCTTTATTGAGTAATCTTATGGAAATCCATTAAATACATCCCCACACATCACAGAGGAAACCTCCATATCAAGAGTTCTTTGTATAATACAATCCTCCTCTTACTAAAGTCATTTGCTTAAACCTGAATGCTGTTTCTTCAACATCTATACTTAACAGTAACACACAGCAGCAGCTGGAACAGAGTCATATTATTGGAGAATCATCATTCTCAAGATCACTTTATAAACATAACACATGAAGATATTAGCAGATGTGCACTGCAATACCAAGCAGAAAAACTGTTTTGTACAGACTACACAGGGAGTCCTTATTAAGTTTTCTTCTTTCAGAAAAATAACCAACAGTCATTTATTAAGTGTCCACCATACCACCAGCTGCCTGAAATTCTGGTATGTCAAAATGGCTGCAAGCATACTAAAATTAAACTGAGCGAGGGCGCTAAAAGTTTAAATACTGTTTTTTTCCGTGCTCTACATTAGGATTAATGTACTGAATGCCAGCAGCTGTGCTTCCTAGTGGAATAGAAGTGTCCTTCTGAGAAGTGTAATTGAGAGAATGAAGAGCTCCAGCTGAGCTGATTGGTCTCTCGCTGGCATTCCTTCATTGTAAAGGATGCTGGGGGTGCTGCTGCTTCTGTAGGCATGCCTGCTTCAGAATCATTTTGATCTCTGCAGTGTGCCCTCCGTGCCTCAAAAACAAGATGTCTTCGTCACTAAGTGCTCAATGGCATGATGCCCATTTCTGTTCTTTCGTGGACAGTTGAAGCTCTTCAGGGCTGTATTTAAGAGGACTGGAAAAATCCAGCTCTTGAGGAAACAGATGCAGACTAGAGGAGCTCTAAGAGTTTTAGGTTGAGTGGTTTTCTCCTACAGGCCTGTCTCTTCAATAACTGAGGCTGTGCGCCCCCTTGTTAAAGGATAGCAGTCTGTAACAAACTTTCCAGTTTATTGAATATTAAAAGCAGGGAAAGCAGAGAGTTTCTTAATTTTGTTTTTGTACAGTTAAAATATTTCTAAAAGAGTCTGAACTTGGCTCTACCTATCCATGGACTCCAAGAAGTTGCAGAAAACCAAGAACTACATACAAATATCAACATCAACTCACTATTTTGAAATGAAAAGTTGCCTTGTCCTTCATAGACTAATGAGATGCCAGATGAATTTTTGGAAAACCAAAACAATTTAAAGACAGACCTTAAAGTGAAAATGACGGCCATATTTCCATTTTCGAACTGCGACTTTATGATGCATTTTTCCTTATTTAACACTTCAAGCTGTGGCCCGGTCAATCCAAATAGTCCTTATCAAAACTAATTCAGGGGTACTGCCAACGTTATTTACTGAATGAGGTTAATAGGTTCATTTAATATGTTAACTGGGTTAATTCACTGTATTCCGAAATGCTTAAAACACATCAAAGGGCTAATGGGTAAATCCACTTCTGTTTAATTGATCGAAATCCATTTTTAATGATTTATGAATTCATGTGAGGAATCTATTTTTTCTAAATGTACAGTATTGGACTTCATATTCTGTCTGTTATCCTGAATGATTTATTATTTCAAAGACACTTCACTTGAAGAAATCAGCATATCTAAAACAATAAGGGATTATCAGTTTAGATGATGCATTTTGGCTGATTGATCTTACCTTGCATCCCTCACAAGCACTGACTCCATAGTGGTATCCTGATGACTTGTCCTGACAGACAAAACACGGTTTGTAAACTCGGGGCGGAGGGAGAGGCGAAGGGGGGCTCGGCACTAATTCTTCGGAGCTGGTGCTCTGCGTTTCAATGGCTGCAAAACACCACAACATTGCTGCGTCATTATCTCCGGTCACAAGCAGAAAAAGAAGAAAACGCCACCTTCTACAATACCTAAAATTTCAAAACCCACAGTTCACGTGTCTTTTATATAAAAATCCCCGTGCACCTTTTCTCAGTCCAAGTAAAAAATTCTGATAAACTGTCATATCAGCCACGTGCAGTCTATTCAGCCCAGACATTTGCGATATATCAGTACTATTACATCTTGAAAGGCAAGAACAAAATTAACGTGATTATTAGTATTCTTGCTTAAAGATAAATCAGACAACGTCAGTGAAAAATGTAAATGACGTTTTCAATCATGCACCACACGACAGGAAGCAAATTACACATTTAACACATTTCTCTGATGTATTTTTGTGATATGCTATGGGGCTCTTTCCAAAATGTATACAGTACTGCAGCTTTCATGAGGAAACAAGCCTTCCTGAGACAACCCCATCTTCACACCACTGGGGAACATGATTTTACATCGAAATAAAGCTGTTATTAAATATAGAATTCCTCATTATTTCGACATTGATATTTTCTACATGTATAAAACGAGATGGCCAGGATACAGCATGTACAGTTAATTAAAAGAATGAGTCTGCTATTTGAATAATATACATTTCTATTCTTGTAATGATATGTCAGAGTATACATCTGTTTTCTTTGCAAGAATATCCCTTTACAGTAGAAAATGTGTTAACTTAGACTTCATGAAACTAGCAATATAAATAGACAGTTCTGCTTTAATAACATGAATTCTTATCTTCTTAATTCAGTCAAAGCAGGATATAACTTTTGCTTTAAGCAAAATTAAAGAATACCTACTGAATGTGGAAAATCAGTTATGTATACCGTATATTGTAACGGATAACAAAAGTCATTCATTTTAGTTTTCAAATGGATGCTTTAAAGAATAAGTATTATGTATTTTTAACTCATAATTAGATACGGTAAAAAATTACAATCCTGAAAAATAACCAAAAATAATAATAAGGATAAAATAATATGAAGAAATGTAAATTTAACAACAGTGGGAAATAACAAAAAAAGTGAAAGCTGATATTAATCAGTTTAATCAATTCTGGTATTTTAATCACATTTTCTAATAGTTCAGGATAACAGGATCCATTTACACAGAGAGGAAGCAAAGCAAACACATTTGAAACAGGACATGGTTGTTCGATTGTGTAGTTTAAATTGAGAGAAGAACAAGGAAACAGAAAAAAACACTATGCCTTTGAATGTCATAATGCACATAATACAAGGAGGATATGTACAGAATTCCAGTTGAAATTGTGGATTCATTCCCATGAAACAAAACATTATAGAAGCAGTTTTAACCAAAATGCTCCTAAATGTCTCCATTAATCCCAAAGTAAAGGAAACCCATTTGTGTATTTTTCAGAAACCGAGGCTCACCAAATTTTTTAATTTGAATAATTATTTGAATACTCCCAGTAACGTACCTAATGTACCAGTAATTATATGAACCAGACAGAAACAATAATTGGGTATAACTCTTCCCGGGTGGAGTCCCCACTGCTTGAATACACAAGGCTGTCTTTTCTCTCTCAAAAAGTAATGCCATAGTGATAAAGTAGGTTTAAGCCTAAATGAGTGTGTCACTATTCTTGAGCTACTAAAAAATCTCCAGGATTTAGAAAAGGGGTGGAAAAAAACACAATTGGACATATGAATATTTCTAAAAATATTTCTGAGATAAAGACTTTTGTGAATGAGTTTTGTCAGAGGGGGAAAGAAATTATAGAAAAGATCAAAAGAACAGCCCTTTTCATAGACGTGATTTATTACTGAAGGGCAGAAAACAAAAAGCTTTGCGTTTCCTTTTACTTACTAATGAACTGGTATTTTTGAACAGGGCCCCTGGCTAATATTACAGACACTTAAAACAGTTTCTCCTCGGGTGCTGTGAAAAAGATCTTCAGCTTGTTACTTTCTGACATTTCACTCAAGAATGCAGATTACTGACTTCCAGTGCTAAGGTCAATTAACATGGTACACTACTTAGTGTTAGCCTTTGTCCAGGCACAAATCACTGCCGTTTTGACAATTTACCCTTTCCAGTGAAATCAAAGGTAGGTTTTTGCAGGAAACCTTCAGTCAGGAAAACAACAATTCCTAACAATTTACTGGAAAGCACTGCAGATCTGAAACAAAGATCCAAAAAGGGCCTTAGTTTTCTAAATTTAAGATGATCCTTTCCAGTTGGCTGCCTTCAGCTCCCTGACACAAAAGCACAGCCAAAGGCACCAGAAGTGTATTGATACAGCCTCAGTTGACACCATTCATCACTCCGTTACAATAAATCTTCATTTGAGACTCCCAATTCCTCACCAGCACAAGTCACCGAGGGCCTTAGTTTCACACTCTAATTGGTTATGATAAACTAAACAAACATGTCTTGCATAGGTTCCACCTTCAGAATTATATTTGTCTACAAACACCTCTCTGAAATCCTTTTCTGTCCTGAGAATCTCTCATGTTCAAAGTTCTTTATAAGAAAATGCCACAGGTTTTGACCTGTAAATAATGGTGGGATGAAAACATTATGGTTGTATGGTTACTACGTTTGGGATGGTATCAGGAAAAGGTATCTTAATCCTGCTTAGCTCAATGACCATTATGTTGTAGATAGAAAAGGAAAATAATTTGGTCAGATTTGTGCAATAATTGTTTTTTCAGTTCTTGTGATCTTTTCTTTTTTTTAAATTGAGTTTTACAAACATACTGTCCCAAGGCAAAGATCCTCAGTCTATAACATTTCCACAGATGTGTGGTGATAAATGCGAACACCTCCTGTTGCCTGTTTCCACACAGCAATGTCTGTATTGTAAGATTACCAGAGAGCTCTCTTCAGATGTACATACCTCACAAATCCCCTGTTCTGCAATATATTATACAGCATTGCACTACTCCTGTGTCTTGATAGAAACATATTTTTGTTTTCTCATTTCGTGATGAAAGGTTAAGAATATGTGACAAGAGTATGGAAAACAGACACACTAACAGAAAAGGTGACAACAGGGGTCAGTATTGTGCATTAGAAATGGTTACTTTGCAGTGGGTGATATAAATTATAAACAACATAATGGCAGAGAGGTGTAATTGAAACCGAGGATACATTTAGCCAATATAGCCATAGAGAAATGGGATAATGTAAAGGCTTTTTTTTTTGCAAAGTAAGAAATACATATATATTTATTTTTTACACCTTGACGACTGACACCATAGGTTATAGCTTTGCTATAATTGTATTAAAAAGTCTGTCTCAGCTTGTTTGATGCTATTCCAGGTGTTAACTCAATGTTAGAAGACATCAATACCCTTTCCACCATGTCAGGTGACAGAGACAAACAGTTCTCTAGCAGGTGAAGTAATATGTTAATACATTCCTCTTTCTTAATTCCTACACGTTACGAACTTCCAATTCTCACAAAGCGCATGAATTTTATTATTTAAGAAATGGGATAATATTACACTTACCTATGATATACTCAAAGAAGACTGCTCTGTATTTGCAGATAATGCTTGTATAAGCAGTGGAGAGCAATTTGGTCTTCATTCATCAGATATGAAATAACTTGCTCATGGATCAATTAAATAAGATTGAAAATGTAATTATAACATAGTGTTGTAAAATAGGGATATACTTCTACAATAATTCAGGAGAAGATCTCCCCTGAGAAGCAACTGTTCAACGCAAAATATTACTGCACAAATCCATCATGAATTATTTGAGAATATATTTGAGAACAATATAAAGAAGGCAATCAATAAATAATCAAATAAATACAAATTAAACAAAAAATAGTATATCTGGGGTATCTAGCTGTTAATTTAAACAGATCATATCCATTTTAAAGGAGGTCACCCAAACAGCTTTTCTAAATAAAAAGTGTTTGTTCCTTTTACATAAAAATTGTCATTAAAGTTTATTTGGAATTTACCTAGTACCACAGAGAAACAATGAGATTAGTTTTAGTTTTTGCTTGATTTTATCCAATGACGATTATCTAGAATAGCAGTGCTTAGAAAGTAAATATGAATAGGCAGCATAAATAATTTAATTGTTTAATACATTGTTTACTCAGTAGCAACAACTGAATCATTAACACAAAAGATATCAAAGGAAAAATGGATTTGACATAATCCAGTTTCATTAAAAAGTGTAATCGGCATCACCGCGTCACTCTTGTTTTAAGCCCTGATAAAATTTAACCAAAGCTGAACTGCCAATTCATCGTCTCACTGCATTTTTACACATGTGAATGCTGTAACTGGTTTATTCATTAGTGTGCTTACAGCACGGATCTAAAATAACATTCTGCCATCTTTGCCACTATTCCATAATACAAATAGGGAACCAGAGCAGATTTTTGGTGTATTTTTATAAACCTAGCTGAGAGTACTTCAGTTCTCTTCAGCATGAAAGACATGAAATGACACTTTGAACCATAACCTTTGTACTGCCAAACTAAAAAAAAAATGTTTATTTACTTATCCTGATAGCCTAAACAGTCACTTCAAAATCAACATATCTCAATAGACATAAAATAAACAAAATGAAACAAAGCTAATCAAATCAGTGTTAAGTCCACAAGATCACTGCAAAGGCTAGTTTATTTTACTGTTTCTATCTGCTAAGATTTTTTGTGCAGTGTTTGTTGAAGAATGTTTATTTATATTAGTTTCTCAAAAAACAATCAAATAGGATTTTACATTTTAGACTGGAGTGGCGCAGTTGTTATAAATGCCAGCGAGTAGAAATGTTTTAAATGTTTAGAATAAATTATAACAGTATTAACTATCGGTCTTTTCGCATGCTTCCTTTTAACATTTACGAGATTATTTCCATTTCAGAAAACGCAGAGGATTTTGATTTTTCATGTATGTATCATGACTACATGCACAGCTGCACAAGCAAGGTAAAATGGACAAAAACTTAATTGGGAATGCTCA